AGTAGCTGTAACAAGCAGATACCATAAAGAACCAAACCGAAATATAACATTATTTGTGAGCATATAACAACATGTATATAGGTATTAATATATGTGAGCGCACATATGCGTGCATATGTGTGTACGTGTCTGTGTATTTGTACATACATAAAGGGATATTAAGCACGGGGAAAAAGGAAAATAAATATGTGAGAAGTAATCTTTCTGCCTAATTTAAAACCTCGTTAAAAGATACCATTATGCCTTGTCCAAAAGCACAGTGACGAGAATATGGATTATCATGCCATAACTTAAGGGAACTTTTAATCTCTCACCTGAGGCCCACGCTCCTCATCCAGCTCGATTGTCATTAAAGCAGCAGCCCCCTGTTCACTAACTCGACTCTGACAGCCCTGCCAAAAGAAGTAGGCGCATTGTTCTGAGGAGGAAGAGCTGATCTGACGCATCTCCCGAAGCCCAGCTGACAAATGTGAGGGAAAACGAGAAAAGATCAAAAAGTGTAATTTGTAAACGAACAAAATTAAGAAAAATGATCATAGTTTATGAAAATAAATCGATAAAATTTTGGGACAAAGGAAAAGAAAAAAATTTCTCTTTCGGGCATGTCATGACTATGTAAATTCGTAGGTGAAAATAAATCCATCAATGATACATTAATTAAATCAACTTTAGTGTTGGGCTGATGCACATGGAAATAAAGTAAATGTAAAGAATTCACTTCGCAGTTAGGAAAAAGTGTTTTTCATTAGCTGAAAGGAAGATTTGCCCACAAAAATTTGGCTTTTGCTTAAAGTTCAAAGCACCTAACACCTCTTATAATGCTTAAATTATCGTACAATTGAGAGATAAAAGATCTCGAGGGAGTTAAGGTAGACATAGGAATGAGTTTGAGTAAATAAGTGTTTGACATTTCTTAGTGTGGATGGAAAAATTATGGCTTGTGTAGCCAATGGTGCAGTCGCAATCACCATTATGTAAATGTTAGTTTGAATAAGAACTTCAGCAAACGTATACAAGGATGTCCTCTTTAGACGTCAGACATGTAATTGAGTAGATTTCCTAATCTTTTTCCCGCGTTTTATTTGACATCTCCAGTGAAAATAATAGTAAATAAATAATATAAAAATTCTTCAGTGGTAGATGATGCTCTCCTAAACGAATCGTATTTGACTCGTAATCTGTTGTCCAAGATTAATAGAAAAATAACGACGTTGACTACAATGTCGGTGAAATGTCTAGAGACGTGCCTAATCGAAAATTTGATAAGATAAAAATGCACAAGTAAAGCATCAACAAATGTATAACTAGATATGCCATCCGAAGTTTTCTAGCAGATAGGAGGAAGTAAAAAACGGAGTTCATACTTAGCATAATACTTCCCGCGCCTCTGCTAGTGATTTGCAATATACTTGGGAAGTCATAATCATTGAGGAAAAAACGATTACAAAATTGTAGACTTAACACTATCAATAGTTGCTTTAAGATTATATATGCAAGATGTAAAGGAGAACAGGTAAAAAGCGCCTCACTGTAGACTACGTCGAATGGCCACCTAATCACATATGTGTCGCCTCGGTGGAATTGCCCGTGGCTAGGTCCAGGTAAGCAGGTTCGAGAAAACTCAGATACATGCCAAACAGATAGTTGACCTGAATTGACACGGAAACGGCGCGCAATCCCATCTGAGAGGCGAACACCTTCGCCGCCACGTCCGACGAACCGGCCTTCTAGATTGAGCAGCAGAGGAGGTGGGGGTGGTTGGCGAACGAGCTCTTGATAAAGCAAATCTGCCGGGTAGACGTCGAAAGCTAGCAAATGGCGCGGCTTGTCGGAGGGAGGTTTAAGGATGGAAAATTTTAAAAATTAGGGTCGAAATAATATATGAACTAGGAAATATAACTTGGAATATTCAATATTATAATCATCTTTTAATTTTGTGCTTTTCGAATAAATAGGGCACTAGAAATGTCCCAAGAACATCGGTCCCTAAATAATGGCGACATCAAAGAGCTAGCAATTCCACATATATTTTAAAATAAATGTGAGATGCAATATTTCGGCTCGTATGTACAGACTGGGCAGACCTTAAGTGATTACAGCATCTGAGGACGAGTAGTTAAAGCTAAATTCTCCGCAAGACAGAACAGGATATGCATCTAAAATTCAAGGCCAGCTAAACAAAGGACGCTTTATACCAGTTAGAAATAGTAGTCAAAAGACTATTGGTAACTGCGGTCTTTATGGGAGAGTAGCAGTCTCCAAATCACTTCTTTGGCAACAAAACATATGCAAACGTTTAGAATGGGTCAAAACGAAATTTCATGATTGAAGACCGGAATAAAAATCAAAAGTTCGCAGTTTGCCAGTCGCCTTTTGACTAAGCTTTTATAACTGAGATAGAGCGTTCTCTGTTCAGCTGGCCTTGAATGCAGATGCTGTTCTATCTTGTAATTAAGTTAGCTTGATATACTGGTCTTCAGATGCCAGGGAAGTTTTATACCCGCCTCATCTACACATTGGCATTTACTCTGCAGAAGCATACCATTCCCTCTGGGTAAAAGTTGTGGAAGATGACTTATTTTCCAGCAGGATAATCATCATAAACATGTATCGAATCTGTGTCATGCTTATTTGAAGGCGAAGAAAGAGCTGATTTGCATGGCTTTTCCTTTTCGATAGTCACCATAGCGCAACCATATGAACATCTTTGGGAATATTTGAAAAGGGAAAAGGTAAAGCATAAGGTATCATCACAAGATATTCACTGGAATTCTCTTAAAGAGTGCTAGAATAAAATGGATTCTCAGATTCTACAAAAACTTAAATAACCTATTTCAGACAGAGTGCAGGCGATGCTTAGGGCAGAAGGTGATCATAGCGAAGATAAA